TCGGCAGTGGCACATATCAGGAAGTTAAAGCCGTTACCAGTCTGCTTTTAAGCAGTCATTCAGCGAGGAAACCGTCGACAAGATTGCTATCAAGTTGTGGTTGCTGACATTTTTTACCAGTCTGGCTACTTCCTCTTGCACGCGGTATATGCTGAGCACTTTTTTACAATCAAACTATAACTTTTTGATTCAGCGAGTTACATGTGTTTTTTGTATTTACGACTACTGTGTAACGTCACGAGGTGAACAAAAAAACCCAGGCTGGAACGCACCGGGCGGGCCGTGCGATCATGCGTTTTTGCACCAGACTTGAAGTGCTCAGGTGACTGACTGCATGAATGCCTTGCTTTACACCTACTTTTTGCGGCCACTAGCATAAATCACCATAAATTTTGCAAAGTAATTGTACAATTTCCACCTAACAGTCGTTCTTTAAAAGTAACCTAGTTGTCCAGTAAAAAATTTTTTCGCCAAGACTTTTAAGTGACCGTACGTAAGAACCACGCATACCTCAAGCTGAATCTGAAATACTTAACCTTTACATGGACAGGGAACATTCTCCCAAAATTTCGGCTTTCCAGCTTTTCTGATTACCGAGTTAGCGATTTCCCCGCCAAAACCTTCACATACCCTTAAGTGGGTACTCCAAGTGCCTGGAAAGCTGAATTTTAAATTTTAAAATTGCACTTGGACAGGGAACATCCCCTTAAAATTTTGGTCTTCCAGCTCTTCTGGTTGTCGAATTAGTAATTTTCCTGCAGAAACTTTCATACACCCATACGTGAGTACCACGCATAGTTTGGGACTGAATTTGAAAAGTTTGAGTTGTATTTGGGTAGGGAACATTCCCTCAAAATTTCAGCCTTCTAGCTTTCCTGGTACCCGAGTTAGCAATTTTCCCCCTAAAACTTTCATACGCCCTTACGTGAGTACCATGCATACCAGGGGGCTGAATTTGAAATATTTGAGTAGTGCTTGAATAGGGAACATTCCCCCAAAATTTCAGCTTTCTAGCTTTCCTGGTACCCAAGTTAGCAATTCCCCCCTAAAACTTTCATGCGCTCCTGCGTGAGTACCACGCACACCTGGGGGCTGAGTTTGAAATCTTTAGCTAGTACATGCACAGGAAATATCCCTACAGTTTCAACTCCTTAGCTCGTGTGGTTCCCGAGACCGCTTTCCCGCCAAAAAATTTGCATATCTTTTTAAAGCGCAAGTACGCGGCATCTAAGCCTCCGCGGGGTATGAAATTAAAACGGGAGGGTCGCGCATGGTATAGACACATATCCTCAATGTTTCAGCCTTCTAGCTTTACGGTTTTCGAGTTGAATTGGGTGACAAAAAGTGCGAACACACAGACACACACACAGCCTCTTCCCAATATGCGCTTTTATAATTAACATACATGCAAAAATGCATAAAAAACAAACAGTGATGTTTAAGATTACCTGCTGATACAGCTGCATGGATCGTCTTTTTTCCTGCTGCTCTGTACGAAGAGAACGAAGTTTGGCTGTTAATTTTTCAATAAGTGAGGGTTCCACCTTCTGAAGTAAAAGAAAAGTTGCCAAACTGAGCAGAAGAACACTGGCGCTGCAGCATTAAACAAATCTGGGAGTGAATTAAGAGCTGATGCATCCTCGGAATGTTGAACTGAAATAAGCGATTTCCCTTCTTTAAGGGCCTAATAAAACAGGGCAGAAAAAACCTAGAGGGGTTGAAAGGTAACACCGAAAAACGGTGCTTTGCACAGGAACGACAGATGGTCAAAGTGCCAGTGTAGGAATACAAGTTCAATACCCATCTAGTGGCCCGAATGCCTGGAATGCCAACTTATGCCTGGAATGCCTGAAACAATTTTAAGTTACAGTCTGGTTCCTCAACTATTTAGCTGCCAACTTTTCCAATTACTTCGATTAATGCTGCATCGCTTGGTAGTGGCTTAATGGCTCTCGTAATAGAAGCATTGAGAAATGGATAAGCTGTTTCAAGATATCTTCGATTTGTGCTAATTATCACTACCTTGTCCCAAAATTTGGCAATTCTGGGGCGCACTGAGTTACTTCAGT